ATCCCGTTTTTAGTTAAATCCCGAGAATGAGGCATTTGAACTTGGAACATTTCCACACTTGATAAACCAGAATCTTAAATTTTCACATTGAATGGCTTCGCAGGAAACGTTTCGGTTATGCATGCGTCCTTACTGCGCAACAACCAGAGTCTCTTGAGATGACAAGCGACATTCCAGCTCCCTGGACGCTTTTCGAACCAGCACTTGAGAGAGTTTCAAAGCCTTTCAAGCGCTCTCTTCCGGGACAAGCCGCTTACTTCCGGTGGCTCTATGCCTCTTTGCTCGATGTCACCATCCAGCCCCAAAGGAGATCAGCAGTGGCCACTGATCTCTATGACAATTGCTGGATCGTGTTTGCCCGCTCCGCAAATGTGGCCACTGGCGGCCATCTTTTTGGTAAAGTTATATCGCCTCTAGCCAACGTACAGCTGCTGCGGCCATTATCATCCATCCATGGCAGACAGCGTTGTGGCAGTTGTGGTGGCAGGCTGCCATCAAAATAGCGTGGATGATATTTCGTGCTCGATTGAAATTGTTTGACGAAACATATCTTTGAAACCCGGTGTGAACGCTACCCCGATCTTTGAGGATCCGGTAAAAGTTTCACGAAATGGCAGCACCGGGGAAAAGCAGCACAGCACGCATCGAAAGTCGCATCGAAAGAAGCATCGAATGCAGACGCCGGTACAGAGTCTGCTTTCGATGCAAGCTGAGCTGCTTTGCTCCGGTACTGCACTTTCGTAGAACTTTCGCCGGGTCCTCAAAGATGAGGCTACCGTTCACGCCGGGTTTCAAGAATCTGCTTCGTCGAACAACTCAATCAAGCACGCAATATCACCCATGGTACAGTGTACTAGATCCACGACTATTTTATGGCAGCCTGCCGCCATAGCGCTGTCCGCCATATTGTATGATAGCTAGAGATGATACAACTCTACCAAAAAGATGGACGAACGTGGCCGCCTTCCCGTCCATAGGCGGAGCTGGTCAAACGCGATCCAGCAAATAGACATAGAGATCAGTGGTAGTGGCATAGCCTCCTCTACGCTGACAAAGCCTGGCAGATCCTCACGTGACGCGGTCACCGAAAGTGAAAAGAGTCTATACTTCGTTTCAGCTTCGGTCCAGACGCAGCCAAAGCTACAAGCGCGAGCTCCGGGCTTTCAGCATTCCTGCCAAGCACGCGCGCTCGTGCAGTGCAAGCACTATTCTGGGCCACATGCTCGCGCTTGTAGCATCGGCTGCGTCTGGACCGAAGCTGAAACGAAGTATAGGGTGCCTGCATGTCTGTCTGTCTCAGGGTGAAGACATCCATTGTTGCACTGAATGTGCCAGCGCGTGACGCTCTCGCGCACTCGGTGCATGACTTGGGCGGTAAAATGGCGTCTATGCATTAGCCAAAGCTACGCGCTCGAGCTGAGTGACACCGGATTGCGCGCACTTCAAAAGGCATAAAAAAACAATTGAGCGGAAAAATGGCTGAGATGTCCCCACTCAAGCAAAGGCGCGCGTGTGTATGAAGACACTCTACAAGAGTCATGTAACGGGCGCCCTGCTGCGGCGAGACGCCGAAGCACACTTGTCCCGAGCGATGGAATGTCCGCTCATTTCGTACTCGTTTCTCGTGCTTCGTTTCTCTTCGGGTTTGAAAACCATGTTTCGGGTCCTCGCCGCTGCAAAAGCTGTGTGCTGAATACTAGACTCCCCGAAAAATGCTCTGTGCTACTAGATCCTCGCGCTCCCAATCTGCGACCGGGCACTTTATGGCTCCTTCATCGAACTGCCAGGCTTTGTGAGTATTAGCGCCGAAATGTTTAGGTGGTGCCCTCTTATGGTTTCCATCCGTGACGTGACGACTGGGATTTGCATCGCCGTGACGTCCACCAGTTGTTACCCTGGCTACTTACCTTCAGGTGCGACGACGAGTTCGATGGTGTGCTTAAAAAGCACAGTGAAAGCTAAGAGCCATCGCAATCCGAAACTAACACCGTCAAAGTTGACAATCTGACAACGCTCATATGCCCATGGCTTGGCCAATCGTGGAAAGCTGACCGCAGCGACCCTTTTGGTCGCGCACATCGCTGGCTATGGTAGTGGGGATTGAACCCAGGGTCCCTGGGTTCTGTGGCGCGAGCTTTCGCTCCACGTGCTCCGAGCTGGTGGGCGCTAGCCCACTCGGACACCGATCCCCCCTCCGCTGGAAAAGCAAAGGAAGTCCTGCGCAGTACCACAGGGTATCTCGGTCTTGAACGCGCATCCCGGATTAGTGGGGACCTTTAGCGAACCCTTATCGTGTATCGTGTTACGCGTACCGGTCTACCAGAGCCTTTAAAGCGTGCTTTTAAGCGCACTCCCCGCGTTCACGGCATCACCCGGGCGCGTACTTAAAAGCATGTTTAAAGGCTCTGGTAGTGCGGTACGCGGAGCACGGTAACGGTTTGCTAAAAGACCCAACTATAAAAATAATTCAAAGCCCGCACGCAAGTACAATGCTTATTCAGATCTGAATGAGAACACGATAGGGATCAAACAAAAAAAATAATCTTTATTTGAGTGCAAATAGTTTTTTATTGGCGAGTTTTGTGCATGAATTAAAAACACCCAAATACACTTAGACTGCGAACAATAAGAACTGTAACGCAAAATGCATAAACATATTCCATTGGATATTTTGTATGGTGGTAGCTTCTTTTTTGAATATACAGGCTATTTTTCTAAACTTAACATATTTGTTTAAAAAAACGACGCGCAATCTATACTTATGTGGCTTGAGCAGGTGAGTTATACGGCTAGGAGGAAATAGTATAGGGGGCTAATCGCAACGATCAGTCGTTTAATGAAATAAAATGTGTTCATTAACTTTTTATTTAGTAAAAATAGACATATGGGTCCAATTAGAAGCTTGCTGAGCGTCATTGAAAACCACCAAATCAGTAATATTTGGAATGACTTTGAGCGCGCGAGAAGCGCAGTAGTGCGGTAAAGTTACCACATGTGCAGCAGGAGCAAGGTAAAAGGCTGGGGCTTATCATAGCCCCAGCCTCGCACGTCTTGTACAGATGGTACCTTTAGCATACTACCCGGCTTCCCACGCGCTCAAAGTATTTCTAAAGCCTATTTAGTAGTTTTCGATGACGCTGAGCAAGTTTCTAATTGGAGCCATGTATAATCTCACGAATGCAATCAAGTTTATTAACAATTTTTTTTCGAGTTGTTGTGAGGATTAGCCTCTTATATCGTGTACCATTGACTGCAAACTCACCTTTACAAGCCGCATTAATTGATTTTCACGGCTTTTTTTTTTCAAACCCATTCAGTTCCTGTAGGGTGCATGTCTTATAATCATATCTTTGCTTTATTTCTCACCTTCCTGCCACAGAAAAAGAATGAAATGCTGCGTTACGCCATGATCTGCGAGCCCAAAGACGGCCTCCGGATCATGTTCTCCAAGATTGCTAAACCGTGGTCATGATCTGGTGTGTGGCCTGCATGGCGAGGCTCCCAAAATAACAATAACAATGGAGAGGCAGGAATAACACTCCGACTACTTGCACTTAATCTAGTTTTCCCTTAAATTTGGGTGAATTACTTTAAAATGTAATTTCATTATAATCACAACTTTACGGAACACACCTTGTTCAATTGGAATATGGATTCATCTAACATAAATGCACTGCTTACAACTATGCATTGCTTTTAGAAAGTAATTAAAATAGGACTTCGCAATTCCTTTCAGTCCCGAAATACATTTGTTCATTTCTTAGCTGAACCTTTAGCATACAGTATACTATATCGTTTTACGTTCATCACATAGTGTCTTTGCTTCCAGATTTTATTGATGATAGGGGTGTGTAATTTTAAGTATGATCCGAGCAGTTGTTTTATCATTTACAGCATCATCAAGAATATTAGCGTTATTTTTGCCGCCATAGTTTAAAGTAAAAAGAGCTTATGATCGCTAGTAAGCACTGAGAAAATTTATTAGAGACTAAATCTCCCCAGTGATCTTGGCCGACATAAGTCCTAATACGTTATTCAATATACACGTCACAATCACAATATTTGGTTGATTTCTACTGAAAATCGCTCTCGCTGCGTGTCTCTGTGTAGGGCAACTTCTGTCTCACCTCTGCGGGTACCGTGACGTTGTGAGTTACTCAGCTGCACGTCCACGATCGGAGCCCTGGTGCAGTCTCGCGTTTTCAAAACCCTCGACTTTGGAAACGAATAGGAGACAGATGCTCCGTTTTATTTTTGCCTCTCGGCGACTCATAAAACGAAGCTAAAGATTTTCAGAACTACGAAAAATGTAATTGTAATTTAGGGGTAAAAATTAGTGAGGCCAAAATTTGGTTAAATTACAAGTACAAACACTTTCCGTCAAAAGTAGTAATTTACTTTGGAATTAATTTCGACTTCACAAATACAACGATCCACAAAGCTTCATACTTCTTCCGTGAATTCGGAGCTGGAAGTAGACAGACAACTTCGGAGAGGAGAGCTCGATCAAGCAGGCAATTAGCAATGAAGCAGCGAGTCGGCAATCGCCAAAGGTAATTACCAGGCTAGCGACATTCATATCTTGTTGGTTTGTCGCAAAGATGCGACTGCACCCATTAACACAAAATACAAGATGAAGGAGGCGCTCGAATAAAAATTCGAAACTCACGAATAAAAATACAAAAACTGTCAGCCCACCATTCCGCTCGAATCGTGAATACAGCTGAATTGCTATTCACTATCGTGCTCTGCACGCACCCTTCATAAAGTATCGCAATAAAAATATATATAATACATTCACAATCGGAAAATTAGTTTGATCCTCTCTCGAAGGGAGAAGACGTAGATGCAGTCAACAGGTTCCTGAGCCGAAAGCTTCCGGTAGTCCGAGACGGCTATAATCACTAACAGAATGAAAACGGCGGACAGGTCATTCAGCTTTCCCGCCTCCAACACGATGCACGCGCAGCCGGTTCGGCTACGCGTGCCCGCGCGTGCTTTGCAAGCATAGCCAAGGCACGGCGGAATTCGCGTGGTGGAGGCCGGGCGTTTTGAGAGGGACCCCTCGCCGTTCTGATGCTGTCGGTGACGTTATAGTCGTGAGCGGTGTGCTTCAGTCCCCGTCTATTCCGCTGACATCGTAGGGGCGATAGTCGCGGCAGGCGTGGATGATCTCTCCCGGTTTGCGGGAGATGCCCACTACGGTCCCGTACCAGCTGTAGTCGGCCACCCTGTGGCCTCGTGCCTTGAGACCGTGCTTCACGTCCTAGAAAGGTGAGAGAAGGAAGGAGAAAATGTAGCTTCGTGAACACAGCCGGCAATAGAAACACGCGACCGGTGGCCGTTTCGTATTTCCCGAGCCGTGCATGCGAAGGACGGTGATCGTGCTCTTCCAGTAGACCTGTTGCTAAATTACCCAAGCATCAAGAAGAATGCATGGATTGGTGTTCCACGCGCCGCACGTGCTGGCCTCCGCAGTGGCAATCTTTTAAAGCAAATACCTAAAACAAATAGACCGATCTCACCAGCCAGTTTGACTACGCCACCGCCGCCGCAATTCATCGAGGGAGCTGTAGTCTTTCTGCACGTGCGACAAGCTCGCTGGAGCTCTGCGCGTGTGGAGCATGAGGCGGCACGAGCCGTCTTGTGCACTGCTGCCTGCCTCCCGCGAACCAAAGTTATGGCGGCGTCACGCATGCGCCGAACGCTTGGTGAGATCGGTCTATTACATCTTGCAGGCGAGTTTGCCAACTGTAAACATAGAAATAAAACAGCGCAAACAAACACAAGGACAAGTAGAAGGAGGGACACAGACACAGCGCTGACTCACGACTTATTTTCTTTCTCATCTTTTTAAAACATTTCAACATAAGAAAACAAGAAATGAAAAATAAAAGAAGAAGAATCCAGCATGTAAGATATCCTCTCTGTCATACGCCATCTGAGGAATTTTTTACACAAACTAAACATTACATACCATTACAACAAAAAAACAAATTAAAAAAACAAATTAAAAAAAATTAAAAAAAGCCAAAAACCACAGCGCGAGCCCTAATGCTCTGTGCGTACCTGTCTTGCACGCGGACTCTTGGTATGTCGGAACCCTTTCCTGGCTGCATGTAGGCACGCGCCTGTGGTTATAGGATCACTCCCATGGAAGCAGAAAGAAAGTGTTAAAGAGACGTGCCTAAACTCCGAAGAAACTCGCACTCTTCACTGTATAACGTCACTGACTCTGAACTGACGCATAGATCGGGACCGTGTTGTCGAATGTAAAACGCTTCATGAATTTCCCTTGCCATTTTTTGTGAATGTTTAGCCAAAATTTCAATGTCACTTAACCGAGGGGAACAACTACACCTATCACAATGAATGGCTAGGTGACCCGAAGGTGAAGACCTCAAAGACAGATAATGCTCCCGAGCTCGAACATTAATACATCTGCCCGTCTGCCCAATATACACTTTCCCACATGAAAAGGGTATTTTATAAACGACCCCCACAGCACAAGCTACATATTTGATGCGATGGTTTATTCCACACCCTACACGCTGAAGTCCTGCTCTCTCAAAGGACGCACACAAACGGGATAGCTTGGAAGGTGCTGAAAAGACTATGGGAACTCCGTATTTAACAGCCACTTTTTTGATCCAGTGGGAAAAACTGTGCAAATATGGTATTACCACCGGTCGAGAGGCAGGCTTTTGTCTAACATTGTCAAGTACGTTAAGGGGATTCCTGAATAATTTTAAAAGTGACTCCGCTACCCCCACTATGTTTCGTTTTTTTTCGTTTCGAACTTTTCGAACTAAAAAAGGATCAGTTAACTTCAAAGAAGATAGGTGATGCTGGAGATACTTCGAGACATGCAGCTGCCATGACTCTCTCTGTGTAACAATCGCCCTGAACGGCATAGTGTCCTTATGGGTCTTCACAGAGAAGAAAACCTCCAGATTGAGACCACGAGCCGCCTGGACAGACTTCCTGAGCCTTTCTAAACCAAGCTGCTTACAAAGTTGCTCAGCACGCGTCTTCACCTTGCCCAGTACCACATCTGGAACAGGTTTGAAATTTTTTGACACGGCTTGTGTAGACTTTTCCTTAAATATATGTTCTGGCACAACTGCATATCCTCCCTCCTTATCTGAAACCAGCAGCTTTAACTTACAGTGTTTGAAAAAAGAAGTAATAGGGCCTTGGTCTCAGAGTCATTAGACACCTTTCGGGAGTGCTCTGGAGGTCTGCGGTTTACGAATGAGGTTCCAACTAAAAAAGCTTTGCAATTTTTGGACCTCAACATTCGTCTTGAAACGAGTCACCTATGCTGGGCTTATGAGCCTAGAACAAAAAAGTCCCTCCTTAGCTATGAATCAACGCACTCAAAAGTTGTAAAAAGAGCTATTGCAAAATCATGTTTGAGAGCGTCTTTATTGAAATCCTGTGTTCACAGAAGTTTCAACAGCTTTCTGTGTCAAGTAGATAGGTTAACAAAAGCGGGTTTCCCGAAACTTGTCATAGTGGGGGTAGCGGAGTCTCTTTTAAAATTATTCAGGAATCCCCTTAACATACTTGACAATGTTAGACAAAAGCCTGCCTCTCGACCGGTGGTAATACCATATTTGCACAGTTTTTCCCACAGGATCAAAAAAGTGGCTGTTAAATACGGAGTTCCCATAGTCTTTTCAGCACCTTCCAAGCTATCCCGTTTGTGTGCGTCCATTGAGAGAGCAGGACTTCAGCGTGTAGGGTGCGGAATAAACCATCGCATCAAATATGTAGCTTGTGCTGTGGGGGTCGTTTATAAAATACCCTTTTCATGTGGGAAACTGTATATTGGGCAGACGGGCAGATGTATTAATGTTCGAGCTCGGGAGCATTATCTGTCTTTGAGGTCTTCACCTTCGGGTCACCTAGCCATTCATTGTGATAGGTGTGGTTGTTCCCCTCGGTTAAGTGACATTGACATTTTGGCTAAACATTCACAAAAAATGGCAAGGGAAATTCATGAAGCGTTTTACATTCGACAACACGGTCCCGTCTATGCGTCAGTTCAGAGTCAGTGACGTTATACAGTGAAGAGTACGAGTTTCTTCGGAGTTTAGGCACGTCTCTTTAACACTTTCTTTCTGCTTCCATGGGAGTGATCCTATAACCACAGGCGCGTGCCTACATGCAGCCAGGAAAGGGTTCCGACATACCAAGAGTCCGCGTGCAAGACAGGTACGCACAGAGCATTAGGGCTCGCGCTGTGGTTTTTGGCTTTTTTTAATTTTTTTTAATTTGTTTTTTTAATTTGTTTTTTTGTTGTAATGGTATATAATGTTTAGTTTGTGTAAAAAATTCCTCAGATGGCATATGACAGAGAGGATATCTTACATGCTGGATTCTTCTTCTTTTATTTTTCATTTCTTGTTTTCTTATGTTGAAATGTTTTAAAAAGATGAGAAAGAAAATAAGTCGTGAGTCAGCGCTGTGTCTGTGTCCCTCCTTCTACTTGTCCTTGTGTTTGTTTGCGCTGTTTTATTTCTATGTTTACAATGCATCACCGACTAGCCCACCTCCAAACATTACTGGAGTTTGCCAACATTTTCTTTTGGTTATTTACTTTGAATCTTTTATGCGGGGAAGGCGTGCGTGTGTGGAGCGTGGAACACCAATCCCGGCATTCTCCTTGATGCTTGGGTAATTTAGCAATAGGTCTGTTGGCGACCACGCCACAACTTGGTCGTCTGCTATATAGGCAGAAACTCAGAGAAAGGAGGAGACAAGAGCTCACGAGGACGTCAAAACGCCGAGCTCTGGTTGGAATTGGGTGCCTTCGTGTGTGTTTTGTTTAGGGTGGTGGCACGTGGCCATTTTTTTCTAAACGCCTATCAGTATTGTTTGTTTTAAAGCGTCTGAAAGAGCGCGTCCCTGCACGCGCTCTCGCCCTGGCCTGTGCTGCGGCGACATCATGTTTTCGACGGTTGTTTCGCCCTTTCCCTGTGTGCTCGTGCTGTCGGCATCAAGTACTATACCCTGTTTCACCTTATGATGTACCGCAGGAAAGCCTACAAGCTCCTTGCTATAGGGTACATCACTGCGGCACAAGCTCTCGTGCACTAAGAGCAGCTTCCAACGCTATGAGCTCGCGCTTCTAGCCTTCTCCGCTGTACAACATGAGGGGAAACGGAGTATAGTAAAGTCACTTGATCGTGGGAAAGTAGCACCAAGCTCCCCGTGTGGTCGCTAACTTGGTCCGTGAAATGAGCAATGTATCCTTGACCACTCCGTTCTTGGTGAGCTGATCTAAATTTGCTGGCGACGAGTAGCTTTATGGAGACGTTTGTTGTATGCAGAACTCTTTCTATCCACCCACCGACGAAACAAGCGCTTTTGCACTATATTAAAATACGCAAAAAAGAACAATATAATTGTAAGAGATGGGTGGAGATGGGCATGATTGATAAGTTGATTGCATACACAGTGCCAAAGACGCTTATATTGGCGAGGAACGCTTCCAGTACGATGATGCTTCATGGTGATCTTGGCGCGACTGATTTCGAAGAACTCTCTGGATTCTTCGAAGTTTTGAACGGACCGAGATGGCGACTTCCATGGCAACGAAGACAGATTAGCCAATCGCCTTGCAAGGTTTTGGTCGTCTATATCTTAGCATCCGTTTGTATCTGGCTAGCAGGTAGAGAAGACAATGGCGCTACTTTCCAAAGATCTAGTGACTTTAGGTACTACGAAGGATGGCATCGCAGCGTTGGGCAGGAGATCGAACAATAGGAGACGCTTTATCGAGGTTGATGTCCGCACAGCCCGATCTTTACTAACACAGCATAACAAAGAAATTGAACCTCGCCTAGTACGGTCTGGCTTCGAGGGTCGGCCATTGTACCGGAAAGGGCAACATGGCAGGCCCATGGATCGTCCTTTTTGGCGAAACAGCTGTCACTGGCTCAGTGCAAAGATCCTTACCGGATTCAAAGTTCAGAACAACTTATAGGTTATATAAAGGAGCATGGATCTGGTGTCGTCTCTGCCTTTGCAGTCGACATCCAGGATATGTATTACTCAATACCACACACAGGCCTTTTGTTGATTCTTCGAACAGCCATTGAAGAGCAAGGAACAACAACATTCCAAAACTTGGCTGGATTTACCGTCGACGCCTTCCTGGAACTACTCAGTGTATACTTGGCAGCGACAGTGGTGGCCCATCAAGGGCAACACTTCGTGCAAAAGAGCGGCAATGATGAGGAGCGGCCCTCGGGTCGC